AAAAAAAAAGCCCCCTGATGATTGGCAGGCAGCTGCCGCGTCGCCGGAAGTGACGCGCGGCATCCTCTCGCTGCGGGAGAACGGAGACAAAAGCGACCGTAGCGTGGCGTTCGCTTCCAACGCCGAGTCCGACGGCCAGCGTTAAGAAAAAAAAAGAAAGAAACGCAAAAATGACCACGACGGCGCTGACGTCCGAGTGGCAACCGTCGGCGGTCTTAAGCGGCCGGCCAATGTCGCGCTCGTAGCCGACGGCCCGCCCCGCCTCAGCCGCCGCCCGCCCGCCATGTCGGAGCTCCCGCCGCTGCCTCCGGAGCTGTGGGTGTCGGTGCTGAACTTCCTGGGCCCCGCCGACATGCAGGCGGTGCGCTGCTCGTGCCGGGCCCTGCGCCTGCTGGCCGACCACCCTTACCTGTGGCGGGGCCGGACGGTGGTGCTGTCCGACCTGCGCCGCTACACCTTCGGCTTCTGGGACACGCTGCGCCGGCGCAAGCTGACCCGCGTGGCCGTGCGCCACCTGCGCCGCAAGGAGTGGCGGCGCCTGGTCAAGTTCCTGCCTTCGCTCAGCGCCGTGGCCTTCGTCAACGGCGGCCGCGTCTACAAGCAGAAGTACCTGGACCACCTGCTGCAGTTCTCCGACGTGCGCGAGCTGGCCGTGCGCGACGCCGCCTGGTCCGAGCCCATGCTGGGCCCGAGCCTGGCCGCGCACCTGAGCGCCCGGCTCACCCGCCTGAGCGTGTGCAACGTGCGCCTGCGCTCCGCCGCCGACTTCGTCCGCGCCTTGGCCGCCCTGGGCAACCTGCGCTCCCTGCTCTTCCACCAGCAGGGGGAGGGCTGCGGCCTGGACCGGGTGCGCCCGGTGCCCCGCGACGACTTCCACCGCATGATGACCGGCCTGCCCAAGCTGGCGCACCTCTCGTGGGGCATGAGGGGCGAGCCCCAGGAGCCCCTGCCCGACGACTACCTGAGCCCGCCGGACCCGCGGCGTGCGAGTAGGTTGAGCGACGGGACCGCCGCCGATTGGGAACGCCGCAAATCGAAAATATCGTGAAATCATAATAAGAACGCGGACACATCCCGAACGAAACTGCGAGGCGGGTGTGCCGCGCCGACTGCCATTTCGGCTCGGGCCGACGCTCGCCGACGGATTTAATGTTGATGTCGTCGAACCGTTGACAGCCCTTGCGCGCGAGTAACGCCGCTCTCACGATTTATTGCGCATAAATCGATCGCCTGGCAAGATATGGCGTGACATTGGATGATTCCGTGGACCTGTCATTCGACGCAAAGTAAATCCAAACGTTTTCAAGCCATTTGTTATGCCAAGTGACCAACGCGTCCTCGCAATTGAACGTGCGTTCAACTATTGGTAACGAGCACATACGGATAACCTCCTTATAACTCCACTCACTAGATGCCAAAATAAGCATTCTATCTCGATCTATAGAAATGTGTACACGGATGCAAGTGGTAAATTGCGACGCGCCCGTCCCATTCAGGCTCTCAGTACGGGGGTCCGGCCCTGAGCAGTTTGGAGCTGGTGGACTACCCCGAGACCATCCTGCCCTACAACGCGCTGAGGAGTTTGACGTCGCTGCGCTCGCTCACGGTGCATTACCGCTACATCCGCGACGGGCTGGACTGTCGCCTGGCGTCCTGGCTGGCGCCGCTCATGCGCCTGGAGACCCTCAGCATCGTGGGTGAGTCCCCGTTTGGCTTGCCCTTCGCCAACGGAAAACTCGCTTCTCGACAAGAAATCGCACTTGACCAAAACTTGAAGTGAAAAAAAGTACTGTAGTGTTAAAAAAAAAAAAAAAAAACAACAGTCAGACCATCGATAAAGCTCTCAAAACTGCGCTTCATTTTTGTCTTTTCGTACATTTCATCAATCTGTCTCCATTTCTAGCCATGTGTACAGCCATCCGACTATTTTTTTAAAAATCTCCTACACGAGAACGAAAAACAAAAACGTTTGAACAAAAAGCATTTTTGAAAAAAAAAAAAAAGAACCACAAATCCAAAACAAGTGCATGGGGACCATCGTTATATTGCCTAAGCAGAACTCGTTTGAGCTTATTTGCTGACAAGAAAGGAGGACGCTGATTTCACAGCCACGCCGGTGACAAAGTTTCTGAATTGATTTCAAGCCAGCGAATCATTTGGCGTCATATTGTTCCCATTGAAGGGACGTCGTCCTCAAACTGGGTCAGCAGCCACAAATTGTGAGATGAATCACGTGGCGGATAAATGGGATGCTTTCGGCCCCCGTTCAAAAAAGACTCGGCGATGTTGGCCGAGGACGACGCGCGACACAACGCGGCCTGCTCTAACGGCGGCCTCTCGGCAGGCGGGAACTCCCTGTCGCTGTACACCAACACCATCCCGGCCAGCGTCACGCGGCTGACGCTGCGCGTGGCCATCACGCTGAAGGATTTGGACTCCATCGCGCCCAAAGTTCTGGCCCTGGAGCACCTGGACATCGAGCAGAACCGCTCCAGCGGAAGCCTGTGCCGACGCATCCCCATGTTGTTCCCTCAACTGCGGACGCTGCGCATACGGTGAGTGTGGATCTGGGCCGTCGGATCAGCAGAGGACGAAACAAGAGGGGAACTCGCAACACGGCCTCTCATACACACGCAAGTCAAGACACGAGACAAGTTAAGACGGCGCTGGGTTAGGGACAGGGGAAGGTAGGCTAGGACAACGCCAGGCAGGAAGATGCAAGACGGGGGACAGGAAGTGGAGACGGGACAGGGTAATACGAGGCGGGCCCGGAAGGTCAGCGCAGGATAAGATGAGGAGCCAAGACAAGTAAATGGCAAGGCAGGCTACGATCGAATAACACAAGGTAGGACAGGAAAACGGAGGTCAGGACAGGATCGAATAACACAAGGTAGGACAGGAAAACGGAGGTCAGGACAGGATCGATGCTGCCGATGATGCTGATGCTGACCCCCCCACCCCCCGCGCAGGTTCTTCCGCCGCGAGCCCGAGAAGGACCTCTTGAGCCTGCAGCGTCTTCGTCACCTGGAGCGTCTGGAGCTCCTGGTGGAGCGCTCTTTCATCCTGAGGGACTACCTGAACGGCCACCCGTGGCCCAGCCCCTGCGTTCAGGAGCTCATCGACCAGCTGGTGCGGCTGTCGGCCAACCGCATCACCGTCGTGACCGCCATGCGCCGCCGTAACCCGCTCAGAGAGTGTAACTGCGTCTGGGAGGGCGACTGACGAGAGCGAGGGACAACTTTGCCGGGCGCCCGCCACAACTTGGTTGTTGAGTTGACGACCCGCCGAAACCTAACCCGAGCTGGCCTCGAGGCGCGATGCGCCCAGCTCGGACGAGAGCGGACCAGACCAAACGGGACGGGACTAGGCGGCACGAGATTGGACAGGACAATGCAAGACGAGCAAAGAAAGGCTGGCGCAAAAGGTGATTTACCGACCCTTTCTTTGCTTGTTGCCAACACGCTGTTCGGGTTGGACAAAACAAGACGGGACGTGTCAAGACAACGGATTGGGCAGCGTGACACGAGAGACCACGCCTGACAGGTAAGCTTGGACGGGACAATGCAAGACAGGAATAGGCAGGCAGGCGAGTACAACAGCGGGCAAGAAAGGGAGCGACCGTGGGCCATTCAGGACGAGACTGGACAAGGTAGGACTGGGCAACGCCAGGTCGGTCGAGAAAAGGCGAAGCCCAAAACAGGACAGGAAAAGTTCAGATGAAATGGGACTGGACTGCTGAGTGTTCAGACTTAGACAAGCTAGGACTGGACAACGCAAGACGGGTCAAGGAAGGCCAAACGGAACGAGACGAGGCGAGGCAGACTATCCGGGATGTGACGCGAGGGGCGGGCAAAGGAAGTCATCAAGGAAGGCTTTTTGCGCACAAGCAACCTGTGGACGTTTTTAGGAAGAAAAAGAAGCCGCATTCAACTTGACGAGTGTTTCGTGTGTACAAGTTGGACTCCCCCCCCCCCCTCGCTTTCTATTGTGAAGACTCTTAACTCGAAATTCCTTCAGAGGAAGTGCTTGGTGTCAAGTGTCCAATCGTGATGCGGGCTACTTGAACTGACTTACTGAAAGCAACCACGTTGCATCGTTAGCCGAATTTGGATTACGATGGAAACTGGAACGATTTGTCTGTTGTTGTTGTTGCGGCCACGAGGTGAACAAATGAAATCAGTTGAAAGATCCATTTTTGTGGTCTGCGTGAGGAGACGATTTTGTCGGTGCTTTCTTTTCAGACCTTAAGCCGACGGCGCCGAGACCACCTGCAAAAGCGGGTCTCCGTTCGGTCCGCGCCTGCATAAACCCAGGCGCTGGGGGCCGCCTTGCTCAAACTGCCGTCGCCGCCACCGGGCCGCGGATAAGCGGAAGAAACCGGGTGGCCGGATGACGAGAAGGTCAGCGCGCCGTCATCTCGGACGACCTCGTGAGTGAAGCGCGGCCGGCGGTCGCGCCCAGAGCAAAGAGTCGGTGACGCGCATCTGATTGATTTGCTCATTTTAATCAGGTGATACAAAAAGACCAAACTTGTCCCGAATGAGGGCAGACGCGGGGTTCGCGTTCAAAACTCCATGAGGTGCGTGTACGGTCCGTTGGTTTGGATGTGGAGGACCTGCCGGTTCCCGTACGTGCCGTGTTGCACGCTGACGCCGGCCGCCGTCACTTCCTGCCGGCACAGAGCCACCAAGCGGGCGTAGAGTCGCATTCCGTCCTCCTTGGCCACGTTGTGGTGGTACTGCATGGCCTTGCCCTTGGCTTTGCCCCCCAGCGTGGCTTGAGGGACCACCAGGAGGCTGCCCGGGAGATCGGCCAGCGAAACCATCTTCCCGGACGGAGCCTCGCACACGCGCACGTTCAGCAGCGTGGAAACTTGATCGCCGTTTCACCCCAAAAAGACATTGGGCCAGAGAGGGACTTTTTAGCGCTTTGGCTCGCAAGTTTCAATCAGCGTGTGCCCCGCCCCCCGCCGATAACGCGTCATGGATTTTTCGACCGTTCCGCGACGGGGCCAAGTGACCTCAACTCCCGGGTGTGCGCCGCTTCATGCTAGCGTACTTGGAACTCCAAATGAATTTCAATGCTATGAATCTGTTGCGGTGTCGGGCGCGGCTCGCTCCGGTTTTGATCGGGGCGCGACGCCGTCCGTGTTCGCGGTTGAGCAAACGTGCCGCGGTTCCCCTTTACAAAGGGAGGCGGAGCAGAGAGCAACTCACCCATCTTGGGAAGGATGTCTTCTGTGGCGCCTTTCAAAAAACAAACGTAGAGCACCATGCCTCTTTCAATCTGCAAGCACACGTGTCAAAATATGTCAGCGTATTTTCCGACATGCTGGAAAGCCTCACGGCTTCTCCCAAATCAACAGTGCACCTGAAGTGTGGATGTCCAATTGAAGTTGGACGGGTGCCTGCGTGTGTGGAACAAGCCACCTTCATCGGGACTCCGGTGCACCTCACGGTCCGAAATTGCGGTATTAAAATATGCAAAGCGGAGACAGTCCACGTGTGGAGTCTGTACAACGCCAGCTAGCCCAGCTCCAGTAATCCCTCGTTTATCGCGGTTAATGGGGACCGAAACTACCCACGATAAGCGAAAATCCGTGAAGTAGCGACCAATTAACATATAGAGGTAAAAAAAAAAAAAATCTTTTTTTTTTTTTTTTATGTCCGCAAACAGTCCACGAGAAGCTGCAAAACAACAGCGAGTCACATAGAACAACATACACAGTACTGCACTCCATGTATATTTAAAAAATATATATGTTTGAAAAAATCCGCGATGCACTGAAGCCGCGAGAAATGAACCGCGAAATAGCAAGGGATCACTGTACATCTGTAACTGGAAAGAATGTTGGATTTGTTCCTAAGTCTTCTTTCTGTCGCACTGAATACTGTATGTTGAACCCAGGTGCAGTCGTAGTGTGCCGTATGTCATCATCTCGGTCCGAAATGGGAGTCACTTTCGTTTTCAATTTAAAGGAAGCCACTTTGAGAGAGGCTTTTCGAATACAGAGGAAGGGAGATTTGTCGTGCTCTCGTCGCGCTGACCTGAACCCACTGAGCTTGTTGGTGCTCGTCCGGCGGCTTCACCTGCAGCCTCGCCTGCAAACATTGCTGCAGAACCGCGCGGGCCACCGGAGTCGCGCAACCGCTGCCGTCAGCCATCGAAAGTGCTCCCGCTTTGGCGCGTTCCAAAAGCGCGAGTGAAAAATGTTGACAAGTTTGTACGGCGCGCACACTTCCTGTTTACGTCACCGCGGATATTCGAAGAAGCTCAAAGTTGCGCTTGTCTTTCGTCGTCGGGATCCTCGCCGCGTGAAATATCCGTCGGCCGCATACTTAAAATACTTGCTCAGCTTACTCTTTTATGGTTACCGTTCCAAAACTAACCGCGCGTCTCTTTTTATTTTGTTGAAAACGTGTCGCAATTCGCGTTTCGCGCAACATTGACGCGCCTCAGGTGGTCAACCCGAGCGGCTCCTCAAACATGGCGCACTTCACTTGCGGCAGACTTTCTTGTTTCATGAAAACGCGTGCTACCACATCGGTGGTTTTTCGAGCCGGGCCGCAAATAAAAGCCGCCTTTGCCTGCTGTTTGCACTTGACGCGCTGGCACGTAAGTAGTTTCGGACGTTTCTTCAGACGCCGTTTGCTTTGTGTTCAGCTTGCCGAGCGACGTCAATTGTCCGTTTTTCATCATGACCGCACCGGAAGTGGCACGATGTCAAAACCCAAAATAACGTTCGATAGATTGTCCTTTGACGCTAGACTAGTTGGACGAGCAATTATCAAATTACGCTTTGCTGGGTCGGGAGAGTGATTTCAAAACTGTATTCTGCCCCCCCCCCCCCCCCACCCTTAATCTTTAGGAGATGTTTTGCTACTTTCTGTTTTCCGAATTCAGGAGACTTTGGCTGCTTCTGCCTTCCTGTATTTTAATTCGGAAATATCGGGCCAATTTTGCAGCGCGGCTCCGATCAAAGTGACGTTTTTGTTTCCAATATCGGTCCGATAATTCTGCTGTGTCATACATGCTGAATTCTGATTCATCGTGATAAGCGTACTTGTGCGAGGCAAACGGGCCAGTGCGCACGTGTTGTTATCCTGCGTGCGCGCTCAGCTAGTGCGCAGAAGACAACATTTCCGATGCGTTTCTTAGTCCTTGAGGCCCATGGGAATAAACAAGGCGAACGTTTTGGAGCAACTCAAGAGAAACATGGGCCGTTTTGCAGTCAGGACCCTCAAAGGTGATTTGTGATAAGAGTGCGGTCAGGCAACAAATTCACCCCGTATCTCAAGGCAGGGGCGCCGTGGCCGACGGGAGTCACCCGAGGGGGTTGTCTGACGTCTTGTTGTCGTCGTAGAGGGCGATGGACGCGAAGGCCCTGGCGGAGCGGCAGAAGCAGCAGATGGCTCGAGGGCTCCCCAAGCGAAAAGCCATCGCGGGCGTCCGCCAGGTGCTTCTGGTGGCTTCCGGCAAAGGCGGCGTGGGGAAATCCACCACCGCAGGTACGCCGCGCCGCATCTTCACGAGCCGCGCGCCGGCTTCGTTGGACCGACGTCTCTTCCTCTTGTTCCTCGAAAGTCAACCTGGCGCTGGCGTTGATGGCCAACCAGCCGGTGAGGAAGCCCTCCGATCAAGTTGAATGGACTTCTGGGCGCCACACGGAAACCGCCGCCGCACCTCGCCATGGATCGCCGCCAGCCTGGCCGGCAAATAATTGAGGCCCGCTGCGGCGCTATCAGTTTTTTGAACCAAAAACAGGGCATGGCAAAATAAAGACATACATACATACATACATACATAAATAAGCAATACACTGATGTCCTCAATGATCATCACAATGAATTACTGGGATCACTACCGTAATCCAAATCCCAGTTATTCATCAGAAAACCCCAACCCGGCTATTTTTGGACCACTTTGTACTGCAAGCAGTTTTCAGTGCAAAGACTCGAAAAGGAAAACACAGATGATGGAAAATGTCCAAAAAGGCCGAACGGAACAAATGTACTGTCACTAGTTCAGTGAATCCGTGCGCGACAAAGCCCGCAGCGTACAAAGCCATTCAAAGCCGTTCCTGCTCCTGCGCCGGCACGTAGGGCAGATACGAGATGAAAACAAACCATGAAGTGAAAGCGCCAAGTCGCGCCTCAAAATGTTCACAGCAAGATATCAAAGCTCGCGCCACAAGATGAATACAATTGTGGCGTGAGCGGCGTCATTTGCTTTTTGCACATTGTTCCTTAGAAGCGGAGCCCAGAAAATGTTGCACAAGTGGCGAAGAGCTGCAGACGCACTCCATGTGGTTCTCCTTGATGCCTTTTGTACTTTCAGTCCAAGGCGGTTGGGCTGCTGGACGCTGACGTCTATGGGCCGTCCGTTCCCAAGATGATGAACCTCAAGGGAAACCCGCAGCTCACTGACGGTAATACAGCGCGAAGAAGAAGAAGAATGACACACCCATCTATCTACCGAGCCATCTATCTGTCTTGGTAGCTGGCTCGCTAGCTAGCTATCTGTCTGTCTATGTAGCGAGCTAGCCAACTATTTTCCCTACCTACGTCTCTATGTAGCTAGCTAACTACTGGATCTAGCCAACTCTACCTATCTGTCTGTCTATTGATCTATGTAGCTAGCTAGCTATCTACTGTATATATCCATGGAGCTAGCTAGCTAGCGATCTACTGGATCCAGCTAGCTCTCTATCTCTCTATGTAGCGAGCTACTGTTCCAAATTATCGAGCAAGCTCGCTCTCTACGTCTATCTATACACACACACACACACGCATACACATAAATTTGGATTTCATTTTCAAAACATTTTTTCATCCGTGTCCGAAAACCCGCATGAGATTTTTTCTCTTTTGTACGTCCAGACAATCGCATGCTCCCGCTGACCAACTACGGCGTTCCTTGGTGAGTAGCTGTATTTGATTGAAAATATGCCGACAGCGCAGCTCTGCATACCTTTTGCCGTTGAGGCGGTCGCGTTTCACAGTGCGCAGTCAGTGCGGCTGCGACGCGCGGCCCGGCCGCCGAGTCGGGCAGCGCGAAGAAGAAGAAGAATGACACACCCATCTATCTACCGAGCCATCTATCTGTCTTGGTAGCTGGCTCGCTAGCTAGCTATCTGTCTGTCTATGTAGCGAGCTAGCCAACTATTTTCCCTACCTACGTCTCTATGTAGCTAGCTAACTACTGGATCTAGCCAACTCTACCTATCTGTCTGTCTATTGATCTATGTAGCTAGCTAGCTATCTACTGTATATATCCATGGAGCTAGCTAGCTAGCGATCTACTGGATCCAGCTAGCTCTCTATCTCTCTATGTAGCGAGCTACTGTTCCAAATTATCGAGCAAGCTCGCTCTCTACGTCTATCTATACACACACACACACACGCATACACATAAATTTGGATTTCATTTTCAAAACATTTTTTCATCCGTGTCCGAAAACCCGCATGAGATTTTTTCTCTTTTGTACGTCCAGACAATCGCATGCTCCCGCTGACCAACTACGGCGTTCCTTGGTGAGTAGCTGTATTTGATTGAAAATATGCCGACAGCGCAGCTCTGCATACCTTTTGCCGTTGAGGCGGTCGCGTTTCACAGTGCGCAGTCAGTGCGGCTGCGACGCGCGGCCCGGCCGCCGAGTCGGGCGGAATTCCGTCCGTTTGGCTCGCCCGCGCCTCTGTTGACTTCTCGGAGCCCCTCCCACTGGAAGGCCCGGGCTTGTTTCGAGCCGGACGAAAGGCCCAAATGAACATTTGTTTGCCGCGTTGAGTTTCTGTGCTCCTTTGAAACACGAGCGTGGCAAGACTTTGCCAGGTTGACGCGTCGCGCAGGGCGGGCCCGCCCCGGACGTCGCGACGCCTCACGCGCTCTCCTGTCCCGCCAGCATGTCGATGGGCTTCCTGGTGGACGACGACGCCCCCATCGTGTGGAGGGGCCTCATGGTCATGTCGGCCCTGGACAAGCTGCTCAGACAGGTTCCCGTGGCACGCTTCCTTCCTGGCTGCGCGCGCACATGTACTGCATGCGTGCGCACCGAGGTCATCGAGATCAAGCGGAAAAAAACGGACATTGGCAAAAAAAAACCCAAAGCTTTCAAAAAACAAACTACCGGTACTGTTTACATTTATAAGGCAAATGCTAACTCAAATTCGAGTGGTTTTGGTTTTTCTCAATTCATATCCCGCATGAGCTTTGGGGCTTCATTTTCAACCCTGGTGTGCACACAAGTACATACTTGTGCGCGCACGTGCGTGCATGTTTTCGAGGCAGTATAAGCACGCTTGGGGGTCTGTGTGTTTGTGTGCAGGTGGAGTGGGGCTCTCTGGACTATCTGGTGGTCGACATGCCTCCTGGCACAGGCGACGTGCAGCTGACCATCACGCAGAGCATCCCCATCGCAGGTTAGCACGGCCCGCCAATTCTCATTTTGAAAAGTCTACACACCCCGGGCCATATCCACATGCGTGTGAGATCCAACAATGATAAAATAGCATTCTGAACTTATTCCACCATTAATGTGTCCTACACCCTGTACAAGGCAATTGGGGGGCGGGTGGGGAACCCGCAACCGAGCCCAGGAGCTTGCGGAAGTGCGCACACCCCTCATATGACTGGATCGGTGGCTGCCTCCGCACTTTCAAACTCCTTTCGAAATGGGAGTCGCACAGTCACACAACTGCCACCGTGCCTCTGATCGACCCCCAAGTTCAGATGTTTCAGTGGGCTTTTCCTGCCGTCTCCTCTCCTTCTGAGAGGGCTTCATCGCTGTTAGTGAGGAGAAGGGCGCCTTTGCTCACCCTGCGGCGAATTAGGACGTCTTGCAAGTGAACAGCAGCTCGGCAAAAAGCGGAGCGGAACATCTGAAGTTGACTTGGGGCCACTCGGAAGCGTTTTAAACGGCGGTGCAAAATGTCATCCTTACCCGCCGATCCGCGTTGCCACTTTTCTTGCGAGGCGGGCCGGTGACGCGCGCGGCGTGTGCCTCGCCCGCAGGTGCCGTGATCGTGACCACGCCTCAGGACATCGCCCTGCTGGACGCTGGCAGAGGAGCCCAAATGTTTCGCAAAGTCAACGTGCCGGTAAAAGCCAGTGGCTCGGGGTGGGGGCGGGATCGTTTTGTGCAACGTTCGCGGGTCGCCCGCGTGTCGCTTGTCACGGAGACGCGCGCCCGCGTGTGTGCGTGTTTGCAGGTTCTGGGCCTGGTGCAAAACATGAGCACGTTCGAGTGCCCCAAGTGCGGCCAGCAGACGGCCATCTTCGGCTCGGACGGCGCCAGGCGCCTGGCGGACTCGCTGGGGGTCGCTTTATTAGGTACGGCCAATCCATTGCCGCCTCTCGCGTCGCGCCCAACGTGGCCGAGCGATCTTGTTTGGAGGAAAACATTGACGTAAACGGGTGCGCCTTTGCGCGTCTGGTCTTAGGTGACATCCCTCTTCACGTCCAGATCAGGCAAACGTCCGACAGAGGCGAGCCCGTCGTCGTGTCTTCGCCCGGCAGCCCGGAGGTGCTTCTTCTTTAGCCCGCCCTTCTCGTTTTCTTTCCATTGTTGGAAGCCTTTGGATTATTTCCCCTCGGTCTTTGTCCAGGCGCTGTCCTACTTGAACCTGGCGAGCGCCGTCGTCCGCAGGCTGGACGAGCTCGCCGCTTGACGGCCCCGGAGCAACTTTGCAAGAGAGATGACCCAAAAGCATCCTGCTACTTTTGCCCAAGTTCCTCCAGTCATTTCTCCAAATGGTGGACTCGTTTGGGAGCGCGACATTTGAGCCATCGCGTGGATTTTTGGGGCCTGCCGAAGCAACTTCTTGCCAAAATACCAAAATCGCACGACGCCGTCACTTCTGATAGTGTTGAAAAATTCTGAGCATTTTCCTTGTGAACACTCCCTTTTAAAAAAAGGACCAATCAACCCTAACCCCCCCATGTGTTTGTTCTTTCCTCTTCGAGAGAGAGGATGCAGCATCTCGGTAAGGCACTCGGACAAAATGGGTCAATGACTTGAAAGCATCACATGTCGTACACTCTAAAACAATGAGTCTATTCCTGCTCGAGAAGACTTTTTGTTGCCAGTTTCCTCGCTATTTTGCTCAAACGCGCAATGACTTGTGGGTACCGCCCTTCGAGGCGGGGCGAGAGCACTTTGGAGAATCGGGACGCACTCACCTGGACGCGAACGCGCAATGATTGGAATCGGGCCGTCATCTCCTCCTAAGCGGCAAAAGTGCCAAAACGACAACCGACCGGCGCCGCCACGTTTGATGACGCGGACACCGCGCGGTGTCGTAAGTCGACGCCCTTTTGACCTTTGGATATTGCCGCCGCCGCCGCCGCGTTTGGACTTTTGTCAGCGCTGGGCGGAGCCCGCGTTGCATTCACGGACATCAAGTAACTTGCCCCGAGCGCTTGTTCCACCAAGTGTGCCCGTCGTGCGACCGGACGGTCGTTGCGCGCGAGGCACCGCGGAGGCGTTTCCGCCGGCCTCCCGTTTCGCGCGACGCTTTTCCTCGCCCAAGTTACCGAGCGAAGTCACAACTTTTGTTTTTGACGGCGGTCCCGGAAGGCGTCCGAGAAAGACGGAAGACGGGAAGGGGGGCGGGGCCTTGACGCTCCGCACTCGGGCGAGTTGATCCCAAAGTTGCGACCCGCGCGCTGCCCCGCTCGCTCCTTCCGAGACGGCCGAAGCGCACTTTCGCCTGGACGCGCGATGCCCGGCTTAGCGAGCGAGTAAGGCCGAGGCTCGCGACATGGGGCGCCGCGGCCGCCTGGCCGAGCTCTTCCGCTTCCTGCAGGACCCCCACCTGGTCGCCCGCTTCCAGCGCCTTTGCGGCGTGCGCGGGGCCTTCTCGAGTCGGCCCGACGGCGGCGGCGGCGGGACGACCAGGCCGCTGCGCAGCAACTCCCTGACGGGCGACGCGGGCCAGGAGTTCGTGGTGGAGAACCGCTTCCTCTACTACTTGTTCACGTTCGGCACGGAGCTGGGCAACGAGCTCTTCTACTTGACCTTCTTCCCCTTCCTGCTGTGGAACGTGGACGCGCTGGTGAGCCGGCGGCTCATCATGGTGTGGGTGTGGGTCATGTACCTGGGCCAGTGCACCAAGGACGTGCTGGGCTGGTCGCGACCCGCCTCGCCGCCCGTCGTCAAGGTGGAGATGTTCTACGACTGCGAGTACGGCATGCCCTCCACGCACGCCATGTCCGGCACCGCCATTCCCTTCGCGCTCTTCTTCCTCACCTGCGGCCGCTGGCAGGTAACGGACGACCGCCTCCTTGTCAAGCTTTCGCCCGGCGCGCTCGCCAATGGAACGCGCGCGCAACCAACCAATCGACCGACCGACCGACCGACTAACTAACTTACGTCTAACTCAATCGCGCAAGTCGCTCGCGCGCCACTGACGCGCACGTGTCCTTTACACACACACGCGAGCGAGTCACACCGAACTTACGCAAAGAGCTCAGCCGCAAGCCGCGCGTGGAACACGTACATCGGCACTACGCACGTAGAACGCACAACCCACTCACGCATGTGACTTGGACGCCACCGACTCAAGTTTATCTTCTGGTCACCGAAATTGAACGCGGAGCTTCCATGCAACCGACTCACGCGTGTATTTTCCGCACGGGCGGCTTTGCGGGCAGCACATTGGCACCTGTAGCCACCAAGCGGCATGAGAAGCTTCAGGTGTTGCTCATTGAACATTTGAACCAGCCAGCGCGTGCACGTAACACAAAAGCAGCTGACCCGGAGGTGTCACCTGCACGCGCTAGGAGCTCCAAGATGCGGCACAAACCCGAGTGACTGACTTGTGCAACGTGGAGCCCGCACACTCGCTTGACTCGCCGGGGCCCGCTTGGACTCGACACCATGAAGGACCACGAGGAAGCGGATCCTCGGCCGTGCGCTTTGGCGGAGGGCGCGCCCGTGACCGGGATGACCTTTGACCTTCAAGGGAGATGACGCGCAACGTGACGCGTCAGACTTTGACCTCCCTGACGCTTCCTCGTTCGACTTCGACCTCGACGTGTCCCGCGCGCCAGCTCGGCGCGTCGGCAAACACGCCGTGGGTTCGACGTGTCGTTTGAGCGCGTCGGCCCGAGCGAGCGAGCGCGCGACGCTCGCTCGCTCGCTCGGGCCGATATCTTCCCCAGCGA